TTTGCTGATGCTGCTATGTTTTAATTTGCTGCTTGGTTTTGCTCTATTATACATCATAATCGTGATAATATATATATGAGTGAATGTAGTGTATGTATGTTGTAATAAAGTGTATCTAGATCTAGCTTAGCTAAACTTATTCTTTTTTTACGCTGCCATTTCCTTGACCATGGTGGTATTCAACCAGAAAGCTCTTGCTACTTTGGTCGCCGCTCACTGATATAGAGTGTATGCACATGACGTCATGGCAGCCATATTGGTGTTCCAAAACAATAAAACGGCGGCCATTGCTGTACCAAACCAATCCTGTGGGAGTTGCTCTTTTCTTATGTGAAGACTTTCTTTTGTTCCAATAAATTTGCATGAATACGTTCTATAACTTTTGTTTCTTTACCGCTTCATTTTCGTAATATTTTACTCTTTTAGGAACTTTACCTTGTAAAAATGAATGTAAATACCCTACATAGTGTAAACAACGAATTGAATTGAATTGAATTATATAAGAAATTGCCACCATGAGGATTCGAGCGCAAATTCCCTTGATATTTAGCTGTATTTTTGTCTCTTTCTTTCTAGTTTTGTTTTGTTGTGGGGCAAAGTTGGTCAGCTCTTGCACCCAAGACGAATTTGACGAACAGGCTAAGGCCTGCTTGATGAATGAGTTTTTTAAAAGCATCAAGGAAAAACCCAAGCAAGACTGCAGGTGAGTGTTGGAAGCCGTATACTTGCTGATACTACAACTAGCTGGCTAAGTTCGATCCCTGCCAGGGTTTTATGTGTTATGTTCTTGGACAATACAATTGGCTCTCACAGTGCCTCACCCAACCGAGGCGTACAAATGCTACATTGTTGATTAGGACAACCTATGCAATGCCGACGAGTTCCTCTGACGATATGATTAGTAGCTAATTCACTGTTACAGCACCATGTAACAGGTGTTTTCGATACAAGGAGAGCGCGGAACACAAAGAACCTGGCAACGAGTTGGTGTTATCACGCATTAATCGCGCATCAATATAAGCTGACCGTTGACAATACGATTAGGTCGGCTCAAATGTTCAAGATCTTTAATTTGCTTCTGCATTTCCCATGATTTCAGTGCAGCATACACTTCCATGGTAAACTGCATCAATAGTGTTTTTTATGGATGCAAGAACAGCACAGACCCGAAAACCCTGACAGAAATTGCCTCCAGAGCGCGAGCAGTCATTGGCTCGGAAGATTATTTCTGCAAAGACGGCATGTTAAATTCCTTCAAGGGAGTCAACCTGCAGTCCGACTGCCGGAAAAAAGCAACGAAAAAAGTGAGGAACTGTGCTGCTTCCTTACACAAGGAATTTAGCGAAGACAAGGCAAGCCCTTCCCTATGCAGGTTAGTTACAGACCTCGGTTAAAAGTGTAATTCTCCTCAAGTATTGCTTTACAGTTTTTTATGTTAGCTATGAGAATTTGGGGTGGATCAATATGATATCCTCTCTGTTCTTCTCGTCACTTGAGCAATATGTGGCTTGATGCTACTCCTTCGCTGACCTCCTCTAAGTAATTCCCACACCAAACTAGAAGATTCACCGGCTTTCGGATTGGCTATCTTCACTCTGATTGGCTAAAAATCCTTCATAACCTTTCCTTTGATTGGCTTAAAAACCTTCTTAACCTTTCCTCGGATTGGCTTAAAAAATCTTCCTATAACCTGTCTTCTGATTGGCTTAAAAACCTTCCTAACCTTTCCTCTGATTGGCTTAAAATCTTCAGTATTTTGAAAGGGTGCTAAAGCTCTGTAAAATCAAATTAAAAACAAAGAGTAAAAAAAGCTGTTTTTCGTTCCCTTTCTCTGTCTAATGCCACTGTGATGTTTTATTATTATTATTATTATTATTATTATTATTATTATTATTATTATTTTAGGAAATACACGAAAGCCAAGAGCTGCGTCAAAAAAGTTCTTGAAAAATTCTGCAGCAAAACAGAGGGAACACGGTATATTTTAAAGATATTCCAAGACCCGTTCAATCCTTACTGTCCCGGAAGCGTCGACAGACGGAAGTCATCAGGTTAGATCTGATCTATCGGTTACTATGAGAATAGATGAGACCTTTTTAATTTAATAGCCCGCAAAACCATCTTTTCAGAGACCATGACTAGTAATGTAGCAGTACTAAATTACTTTGGTGAATTTTGTCTCTCAGAAATATATAAGCCATATAATAGTTAATTGCATTTTAAGCTGCACGAGGAGTCAGTGCATGGCAACACGTGAATTCTTTTCTCGCGCGTAAATATGTTTCGCTTTTCAATTTGCTTGAAGAGTCCTTAAATTATCTTTTGCTCAGTACTTTCCCTAATAACTTTCCCAGTGCGAAATCGAGAAATAATATTCTAGCAGAGCAACTATCAAACCTGACGGAAAGGAAAATTGCTGGCGGGGAGGGGGAAGAGTTCGGGGGGCTCGGTCGGTCCCCCCTTAGTTTTAAAAAATGATACGTTATAACACGCTGACTTGGCCTCGGAATGCCGGAAATCCCATTTCCAGGGACCTCAATTTCAAAAACAGGGAACCATCTTCCTCCTGTATCCACCCCAGCATCGATATTTGACAGAAAAGAATACTTCGAGTAGTCTTTGCTTGAAAGCTATCTGATAAATTGCCCCCTTTTTTTGTTTTGTTGCACAGTTCCGCGGAGCGCCCCAAATCCTTTTGGAACATGTTCAGTGCGGGAATATTTCATTCTCACTAGAGTCTGCATGCGACGCTTTATACAGACACTGCAAGAAAATCCCAAGAAGCCTTGCAGGTTGGTATACAGCTTTTAAATTGGCTTCGGGAATGGGAGGGAAGGGGGATATTGCTGCAAAATTTGGCTGCAACATTCCCACTTTCAACAATGCATTTAGCTCGAGTGGCTCAGGGCGCTGGATTTGAAATCTGGAGGTCCCTGGTTCAAATCCTCTGCCCTACCGCTATCTGGATTTGTTCTCGGTAATCCCGAGTTTAACTCCTCGACCGCGTTGTGTAATATTTGGTTCAGTTTATAGACCGTGTCCCGAATACGCCATTTCCGGATTACCTTTTGTCTCTGTGTCAAAACAAGTCGTCGTGCGAAACCATTCATGTGACTGATGTGTTTCCCATACAGGTTAATTTTTCATGCAAATCAAACTAATTTTCATCTGAGTGATTTTGTACGAGGAATCGCTTTGAAATAAACTGAGGGACAAGATACCTCGGAAGCAGTCTATTAGCAGAGCAGCGGTGCTCAATACATTTGACACGTAAATAAAGTTATTTAAGTTTCAAGTTTTATGTTGTTGTTGTTGTAGAGCGGTGTTCACTACAAAGCTTCATAACTGCGCAAAAGAAATGGCACTTCACTGTAGCAAAAATGAATCAAGCTACGTCAAGCAAAGCATTGAAAGATCATTCGCTCGCAAACGAGCTTTTCAACAACTCAAATTCTGCGACGGCATCAACTTTCAGCTGTCTTACCCATCACTGAAAGACAACAATTGTAAGGAGACCTTCTTGTTGGAGAAACATAAATGCGAGAAAGACTACGTCAAGTCTTATAAAACGAATAAAGCAGACAAGACTTTATGCCGGTAAGTTGTTTTTTAATTAATGTTTCGTTTCAGGAGTGAAAATCGCGTTATTTTGTCTAGCTGAGTGCGTAAAAATATGGTCTTAACATAAAACAGTGCCGGAAAGCTATAATGAAAAGTTAACATTCAAATGGACATTTATTTGACAAGTATTGAGTAGTTTTTAATTTAGAGTCGAAAACTCTCAGTAGGTAGACGTAACAAACGTAAAATACACAACGAACCAATGAGAATACGAAGCAAATACACAAGATTGGCGAGATTGACGTCAAGCGCGGGAAAATGTGCGTTACCGCGCAGTTGGTTTTGGTTTCGCATCATTCTGATTGGCTGAGTAAAGGCGTGAGTTTCTTAAACCAATCTCAGTGCAACACAGAAGCAATTAAGGGTGGACCATTTAACTTTTGATGGGTGAGGGGGTGTTGTAGGAGATTTAATAATGGCACAAATTTTTAAAACCCTTACCTGGACTAGGAAATTTTTTTCCTCGGAACGCGTATGTTCATGATATTTTTTTTCTCCATGTAGCATGTTTTTTTTTTGTTTTTTCCGCTCACTGAATCTGATGTGTGATAATTTTTTCCGGCAGTGGTCGTGTGCATGAATTTGTTTGGTACAAGTATGCTTAAAGAATATTTTTTTCAAAACCACCCACCCCCCCTCCTCGTCAAACGTCCAATGGCACATCTCTTACGGATTTCTTCAGCCACCCACTAGAAATATGCTCTTTTGCAGACTTCCGATGAAACATAGTCCGACCACACATTCAGCACTTTACCTGCTCATATCCCTGCTGACTTTAGATTTTATTGATTCTTTCACAGGAAATACGCAGAAGCCAAACGTTGCGCCAAAAATGCAACTCTTACCCTTTGCAAGAACACGCCACAACTTCGCGATGAGGTTAACTTTCTTTACGATAGATTTAACCCCTTCTGTGTTTATTTATCCGACCCACCGGCCAGGCCTGGGGAACGTTTACCGCGCGAGTCTGGGACTCGGCGTCCTCCCAAAGCCAGCACTGTACCCTTTATAAGAAGACGTGACAGCATCTCCAGTGCATCTCAGTCAATCACTGCTAAATTCTTTAGTTTTGTTGCGCCCTTGTGCCTTCTCTTTTCATTCTTTTAGAATTTTTGGTTCCTTGAAGACTATGAATAGAGACAAGATTACCATAGTACTGTTAAGAAAACAGAGATAATCCTAAAGTTCCATGGAATTGTCAGAGAATTCTTTGATAGAAATGTGTTTTGACAAAGAATAAGAACTTTATTGAATAACCGGAAGTACACTAATTTGTAGTGAAGTAAAGTTCTAGCAGAGCTAGATCATATTAGTTTACACATGTTCCGTTGGTTTCAATGACAAACATTAATTTTAATACATATACAGTTATTATGCTTTAAGTTATATGGTTTAAGCAGGTGTTATTTGCCTACTTGATTAGTAACAAATGAGATCAGTACTGTACTGTTCTAAGTTAAACTGAAAACTATTTAATTTTATTTGTGAATAGACCACACAGAACATAATTTTATATGCCGGTTACGAACAATATGCTAGTTCAGTAAGTAGACGTTTCTTCCATTACGTTGTAAGATCAGGGAACGCGGAGGGGGAGGGGCTAGTAGGGCTGTAGCCCTACCACTTTTAATGCTGGTATTTATTTTCTAGGGCTCCTGATGGCGTGCAAATGCAAGATAATTGGAGAAACACTACTGACTTTAACGTTTAGATGTATTGGCCAGATTTTTTTTAGCCCTACAACTTTAAAATGGTCTCCGCGGTCC